TGCAGATGACAGACTCAATCATTCCTCTGCAGAACTGAATGAAAACAAAATAGCTTTGTTGTTTTTCAAATCTGTTGGGGACAGTTGTGTGGCAAGCACACCAGCCCAATGCAGAACGATGCATTATCCAATGTGAGCTGGTCAGGGAAATGCACTTGGTTGCTTCCCTATGGGGAGACTGGTTTAGTTTTGACAGTTTTTTAATATGGAGAGGGAAAAAAAACAACAAGAGAATGTTTCAGGGTTGCTCGTTGTATCTCAAGGTTAAGACCATTTTGGAAGTGGTGTTTAATGCACATTTCTTCTGAATGAACACGCCATTCAAGCGGCTGTTTGCCAGATTCAAGTAATTGATGTCTGTCATAAATGCTTCACTCTTTTTGAAAATGGCTCAGGGACAAAGGAAGGCGAGGACACAGCTTTTATCCAAAAGGACGTGTGTGTGTGTGTGTGTTTTCAACCATCACAGCACAACCATCATGTGCGGTGTTCTTACAACTTGTCCTATATTGCTTTTTGCAATCTCTCACCGAGGATTTTGCCCCCTTGGTCCCTTTTGCCGAGGATTTGCTTAATGCTATTTGTTATCTTGACACGGCCATCCATTAAAATACTTCAGTTTCTGCAGTTTGATTCTGTCCTCGGAATCGCTTTGAAGGGAAGTAAACTGCAACATAGGAAAAACAGACTTTAGGGTTTAGTCAAAAGTAGACGCCCGGATGATATTTTACGCATGAAGCATCAGGATCCCACATGGACTTCCAATTGAGATAGCAATAACACTGAGGTGTATATGCTGCTTTACAATGCTTTACAGTCCTCTCTAAGTGGTTTACAGAGTCAGCCTCTTGCCCCACAACAATCTGGGCCCTCCTTTTACCCACCTCAGAAGGCTGGAAGGCTGAGTGAACCTTGAGCCTGGTGGGATTCGAACTGCCAATTGCAGGCAGTTGGCAGTCAGCAGAAGCGGCCTGCAGTACCACATTCTAACCACTGCACCGCCACGATCAAGCCTATATACATGAATCTAGTCAACTAATGGTCAGCACTAAATTGGCACGGGATAAGGGTCCATGGCATTCAAGAGGAGTTCCATGCGGACTGTTTGTGGGAACGTAATGATTCCAGGCCAATTCCTCTCTTGACTCTGCCTGCTATTTTCCCATATGAGGTTTTACTCATGGTACAGAACCAGGCATGGGCCTGTATCTCCACGTGCATGACAAAACTGAAATAGAAAACTCGGATAGCGGTAAATGTATAGGGTTTGGGTTTTCCATTTGTTCAGATTTTTCTGTTTTTAGTGGTAGAAGATTGTAGGGTGTCCTGGATGCTTTCCAAGCTTGCTTTTTTTCTTGCAGACATTTCATTACCCAACTAGGTAACATCATCAGCACAAGAAGGGTGTGGGGTTTGCAGAGAAGGAGAAAGGAGGGAGGAAAAGGAGGAAGAGGAGGAGGAGGAGGAGGATGACTGTGGGGTCCTTGGTGCTCTCTGAGCTTGGCAGTTTTCTTGAAGACATTTCATGACCCAACTAGGTAACATCATCAATGCTAGAAGGGAGTTGGGTTTCCGGACAGAAAGAGGAAGAGGAGGAGGAGGAGGAGCAGGAGGAGCAGGAGCAGGAGCAGGAGCAGGAGCAGGAGGAGCAGGAGGAGGAGGAGGAGGAGGAGGAAAACTGTGGGGTCCTTGGTGCTCTCTGAGCTTGCTTGTTTTCTTGCAGACATTTCATTACCCAACTAGATAACATCATCAGTACTGGTAAGGAGTGGGGCTCATTGTCAGTTTATATTCTAGTGTCTTGCCCTGTTGGTGGGGGTGGTGTCAGAGGTTCTTTGGCTGGGCTGTTGGCTTCTTTGGCAGTTTCTTTCTTAAGGAATTGTTTGCCTCTTGATTGTTGATCTGAGGTTCATCTTGCAGTTTATCTATGCCGATCCGGATGCTAACTGCTGATGGAAAGGTGCTTAGGTTTTTTTTAATTCCCTTTTTGGCTTGTTGATTGTTTCAAATTGTAGCTTTTCTCTTTAAAAAAACACATAAGTTTACGACTTGTATAGCACTTTTTATGTGGGTTTCTTCCCCCTCAAATATCAAGAACTTACCCAGCCAGGATTTGTTGCTGTCACCGGAGGGGATTTGACACTGGGGAGTTATCTACATCTTCATGAATTCAAACAAAGCGATTAGCTTGTTTTTGGCTTCAGGGGATAGGTCAGAGAATAAACGGGGATTTAATCTTAGGATACTAAATCTCAGTTTGGTTTTTATTGACTTCTTGGTTGCAACTGCGGCTTGGGTTGAGTTCATTGGTGTCCACAGAAGGGCTACAGTGAGCCGTGGCAGAGCAATGAAAGTATGTATAAAAAGAGGAAATCTTGCATTGTGGTGTCAAAATGCACTTTTATCATGGCCCCGAAGGTGCTTTCTTCAAGGGGCAACGGGACTTTCTGGTTTTTCTTTGAAGAGGTTTCGCTTCTCATTCCAGAAGCTTCTTGAGCTCTGAAGAAGCTTCTTGGGTGAGAAACGAAACGGGGCAGGGAGGGAACGCTGCCTAAAAGTGGGGAAGATGGAGAAGGCAAGGACATTTCCAGAGCATCAAAGAGTGAGCTGAAATTTAAAGAGGGGGCAACATTGACCGATCAGGAAAGATTCTCGAATCTTAGAATCTTGCAAGATGCGCTTATAACTCTGGTCCATAAAACTGGCAAAGAGCGAAGCTCTGGATTTCGGTCAGTTTTAAGATTAGGTCTAATGGTACAGTTGTCCAAGGCAGCAGATTCTGGGAGGTATCTCAGCGGGCTTTTGGAGGACAGAGATCTACACTATGCAGGGTGCTCTTTATTTCTAAGATGGCCGCTAGACTTTAGTTGGAATAGATGAAGCTGGCCCTCCGTGGAACTGAAAAATGGTTCGGCTCCCATGCCTGCCAGTTTCTGAGCACGGACTACAGGCATCTATCATTCAATTCCTCGTCTCAGTCAGGAAAAGCTCTTGAACCAGCTGCGCTTTGGGTGGTTCTTTGATCCATTGCACGATGGCGTACCTGCAGCTTACCATCCTTCAGGCAGCGTGTTAAGCTGTTGACCTGAAAGTCGTGGAGATGCAGAGCTGTAGATTTCACGGCCAATTACACCATGTCTAATCCATCACAACAACATTAGGCAGAGGTAGTTCTTCCCAAAAGCTCCAGTCTGTTTCATCCGATGAACTTAAAAAAAAAGAAAAAAGAAAGAAGAAGCAATAAAACAGAGGAGAGCTTGGGTTAAAAAAAAAAAAAACCTGTGACATTTTATTTATTTATTTATTTAATTTATATTGCCACCTATTCGCTCATGGTGACTCAGGGCGGCTTGCACAATGTAAATAGTGTTGTCATGTCCCTGTTGCAGACTGACTCTGAGGGAGAGGAGGAACAGCTGACAGGGAGTGGAAGTGTGGCTCCGGAGGTCGTGGAGGAGGCTGGGGAAGGGCAGAGGCCGGCTGAGCAGTCAGTGGAGGACCCAGGCCCATCTCCTCTTCATCCTAGGGCACGCAGGGAGGAGAGGATAATGGAGAGACGTGGTCTCCTTGGGAGGAGTGGGCCTTGATCCTCTTCATGGGCTGCAGGTGTGAGAACTGAATAAGTGTTTGGACCTGCGTACTGGCAAATGCTGGAAACAAAGCGTGTTTTATTTTGGTCTGAAGTTATCTTGGTTGGCGTCCTTCCAACAGACTGTGCCTTGTTATCCCCTTGAATTTGGTAAATACTTCTCCTGTTCCATTGTGGAGATTTTGTCATTGTAGTTTGTTTGGTTTTTTTTTTTTATTTCACTTCTATCTTCTCATTAAGTTCGGACTGTATTGCTTTCTTTTAAAGATTATTTTTGAGTACCTCTTATCTCCAACTGAGTATTATTGAACAGTGGGGCTAAGTTGGAGGCATTAAGGGACATTTATTTATGTTTTTGGATTTTGCTACATTTGTATCCCACCCTGGGTCATCACATGTATTAAAAACAAAAAATAAAAATAAAAAAACAATAAAAACTAACCAAAAGAATCAAATAAAATAATAAAGCACAATAGAACAAAATCTGGGGTGGGGGCAATCACCCCCCCCAACTCCCACTCCCCGCCCCGATGACAACAGATCTCACGAGTCGTTTGATGGGCTCCATCCCGCTCTGGGTTCCCCAGGCCCCTTGGCAGAACTGGGTCTTCAGTGCCTTCTGGAAGAGAGCTAGAGTGGGGGCCATTCTAATCTCTGGGGGAATGATGTTCCAGAGAGAGGGAGCCTCCACAGAGAAGGCCCTTCTTCTGGGTCCCATCAGGTGTGTCTCCCTTGGGGATGGGACCCACCATCATTCCCTGCCTCCTTGGTCTGGTGGGTTGAGTGGATGTGACAGGCAAGAGATGTTCCCTCAGATAACCTGGTCCCAAGCCATGAAGGGCTTTAAAGGGGACAACCAGCACCTTGAATTGCACCCGGAAGCCAATCGGCAACCAATGCAGCTCCTGCAGGAGAGGTGACACATGTGTACACTGAGGTCTACACACAACCATGTGGGCTGCTGTATTTTGCACCAACTGGAGCTTCTGGATGCTCTTCAAGGCCAGTCCCATGTCGAGCACATTGCAATAATCAAGATGGCAAGTGACCAGGTCATGAGTAACTGTGAGTAGGGACCGTTGGTCCAGGGAAGGGCGTAACTGGTGCACAACCCACAGATTTTTTTTTGGCTGCACTTTTTGCAGTCTTTGGTTCCAAAAAGCGGGAAGAATCAACGATAACCTTTTTTCCCATATTCTACAGATTATTATCGGGGGCATTTCATCTGTAATCTTAGCTACGAGTTTTAGTCTATAAATAAAGACGGCATTAGATAAGCTTCTGGGCTCAGTTGCTGCAAATCATCTTTTGATCTTGGCGAGATTCCAAAAAGGTGACAGGGGAAAAACTTTTTGTCTTCTAAAAAGTATCCTTCGAGACAGATGGAATGCCTTTCTTTACCTACTTACAGGTGAGGCAGTACACCCAATTAATTGCGCTGTATGAAGAAAAGATTCGAAATGTAACCATCAGGATTGAGCACATGGAGAAATCCAGCATAACTTACACATCGTTGGATTTCGAATTAATCAGACTGGAAATCACGGAGATGGAGAGGTTGATCACTCAGCTGAAGACGTCGCTTACTGGAAGCAATGTGTTTGTGGAACAGTTGTATGTCGAGGTAAAAAATCATTTCTTGGCCTTCCTCTTTTAATTTCTTTGAACCTCCCACGACTCGAATGGGATTGCCTGTCGCTTCTGAAACAATAATCAGGAGTGAGGCTGCAATTCTTCCTTTTCATTCACTCTAGGCCAGTTTTATACTGGCCTTCCAAGAAGATAATGATTGGAAGGCCTACCTGGGCAATAGCGGATACTAAAGAGAAGAGTAAAAATAAGTGAGACAATGGAAGGAATTAAAATCTGGGCCACGCTTTGGTACAGAGAAGTTCCCTGAGGATGGGATTCAGCCTAAATCCAAAAGCTTGGGAGTCTAAACCTCTGTTCCCAGTGCCTGACCCAGATTAGATCCTGAAACATTATCCAGGTACGGTAGGTAGAGATTCTCAATTTTCCAGGTCGTGGTTCTCCTAAAGGTGCTTTTTTTTCAGGAGGCAAGTGGACTTTCTGTTTTTTTTTTCTTTTGAAGGTGTTTCACTTCTCATCCCAGAAGCTTCTTCGGCTCTGACTGGATGATGGTGGGGAATTGCAGACACCTGGTCATTTGAATCTTTTTAGAGGGTCATTGAGGTCACTTGGAGGTTTCTCTGTGTCCTTGGGGTGCCCTGAGTAGTGCAGATGGTTCCTGTAGTCTTCAATTTCCCCACCTCTGGAAATCCATTCCTACTCCCACAGGGTCTTTATCCCAAATTGTATAGCTCTTTAGACTTTTTAGCTATACAATTTGGGATGAACACATTTGAATAGTGTGGGGTAGGAATGGATTTCTGGGGGGTGGGGGTTGGAATTTCAGACTACAATTGCAGGAAACAATGATATGCCAATGTTTTCTTTTGGAAATTCAACTGACTTCCCAATCTAGCCTGTGGATCTGCTTTTTGGGGCAGTTTCCCTTAAAGCCCTTCCGATTACGGGTAGTCCTGAATTTACGAGCACAACGGAGTCCAAAATGTCTGCAACTAAGTGAGAGAAATTTGTTAAGTGAGTTTTGCCACATTGTTTGGACATTTCTCACCACGTTTGCCAAGCGAATTGCTGCCGTTGTTGAATGCGTAACCCTGTCATTAAGCGAATCTGGCTTCCCCAACTGGGACACTGCAACGATCATAAAGATGAACTGATTGTTGAGCATCGACTCATGTGACTGTAGGAATGCTGCAATGGTTGTAACCAAGCAGGAGACTCTACACCATTAATGGTTGTAATAAACCAGAGGTGGCATTTCGCGGGTTCTCTGACCAGTTCTGGAGAACCAGTACCAGAAATTTTGAGTAGTTCGGAGAACCGACAAATACCACCTCTACTGGAGATTTTACAGTATCCTTCCCCTGCCACGCCCACCAAGCCATGCCCACAGAACCGGTAGTAAAATTGTTTGAATCCCACCACTGGAATAAACGGTCAAAAGTCTCTTTCCCCAGTGCCATTGCACTTCGAACAGTCAGTAAATGAAGTGTTGTAAGTTGAGGACTCCATGTACTGATCCTGCTTAGCTTTTTCAAGATCAGCCGAGAATATTTAGGTGGTGATATTTACCATCTGGTCATAGCCAGAGGTGATATTCAGCCGGTTCAGACCAGTTCTGGTGTACCGGTGGCGGAAATTTTGAGTAGGCCGGAGAACCAGCAAATGCCGCCTTTTGGCTGGTCCCGCCCAGTTACCCCTGCGAAGCGCACTCTCATAGAACTGGTAGGAAAATTTTGGAATCCCACCACGGATCATAGCAGATAAGAGAAATCCACACAATTCAACAAATAATAATAGAATAAATAGAACAGAATTCTTCATTGGCCAAGTGTGATTAGACACACACAAGGAATTTGTCTTTGGTGCAAATGCTCTCAGTGTACATAAAGGAAAAGATACATTCATCAAGAATCAAGAATCATCAGGTACAACACTTAATGATAGTCTTAATAAACACAACAATTTGCAACCCCCCCCCAAAAAAAAACACCAAAAAGAACTTCCTCAGCAGCTGCCAAACATCTGCAACCTTGAAAATAATCCAAATAACCGTTGTGATTTTACCCAGATTAAGAATTTGAGCGTCATGGTGAATGAACTGGAACTGTTGGATAAGAATAACATCCTTGCAGTTCGCCGGGAGGTCGCCTCTCTACGGGCTAAGTTGCAAGAGTGTGAAAAGGATCGAAACCAGACTGTCAAACATCCCTACTTCCCACCTGGTAAGCAGTCTTTAAATTGGTTGAAATTTGTTGAAATGGAAATGTGAGGAGCAGGGCATGGATCCAGGAAAGGAAGTCGGCCCGGGTTCGGTCAGAGTTTGCAGCACATCCGACAAGTGCACAAGTAAATAATCCAGCAGGATTCGTTTTACGTAAGAAACTTCTTTATATACGATACCGTACAGCAGAAATCAGCATACAAAATCAGAAACACAGAAGTAATATTCACAGAACCAAGTCATTTCAGAGGATTGAAGCATTTCAGAGGAGGGAGTAAATTTTCAGAGGAGGCACACAATCTTACATAAAGTCCAGCAAGATTAAGCCACGCCTAGGCTCCAAATCGTCACTTATGGCTCCATACAACAAATATTATGTTTCAGTTTCCAAACAGTCCCCATTGGCTGACCTGTTACCACGTCTAATCCAAACAGTCCCCATTGGCTGACCTGTTACCATGTCTAATCCAAACAGTCCCCATTGGCTGACCTGTTACCA